TCGCTGCAACACTATGTTTATTGGCCTGGCCTTTTTGATCCTCGTGCCAAACTCTCATGATTCACATTGTTTTCTGTCGATGATGATGAGGTTGAGTGCGAATTCCAGGTTTTTTTGTTTAAGCGATCGCGTCGTCTGTACTCCGTCCTGACATTGGTATATTTCGCTTCTAACTTTACCCCAAGTGTTGCACCACCCGCGGCTAGTACTCGCGGCCTTTTGTTAAGAGTCTTCGGTTCTAACCATTGAGTCACTAGGTCGTTATCTTGCCGGTACGTGGTTATAGATTTAGTCTTCCTGAAATGTCGTACTGCAAAAAGCTCCCTTTTTCTTTTCTCTAAGAAGTTTTCATTTCCAAAATAATTGTAATCGTCGGTCTTAATGAAGTCGACCGCTAGTTGTACAGCATGAAGCATGCAGAGAAATCGATGGTGCATGGATTAGTTTGGCAACCTTCGAAGCCAAAGCTTAAGTACTCCTTGATAGCTCAATGTGTGTTTCACTGTTAAGAAGAATGAGAGTGTGGTTACTCGTAGGCCTCACTCACACCTATCCATCGAACCAGAAGTAATGGGCGCAGCTGCTGATATATCTGATGGCCTCGTCTACGCATACTACCTCTACGATCTGACCCTCAAACACAGGCATAAAGGTTTCCTAATAAAAGTGCTCAGATGAGTGCTCAGATGAGTGCTCAAATAAGTCAGAATATCAAATGAAGAAGGAGCTATTGCAACCTGACTCTCAGGCCACCAGTTGTCCACTCCGCACAGGCATACATGGTCTGCGCGCGAGCCCATTACCTGCGAACCACACGCATATGAACATTTTCCAGTTGTGTACTTACAGGGCAGCCTTAGTTGACGAGTTTGGTCTTTTCCGGCACCGAGTTCGTGGAACGCTCCTCCTACGAAATGAATATCCCTCCGGTTAAAGTAATGGAAATAAAAAGAAATACGTCCCATTTCCGAAATACGTGCATATGTTGGGGCGGTCCGCTCAGGCAATGTTTTGGGCATTGACCTTCCTCCGCATTCCCATCATTTTTCATGTTCGTGACTAAAATCCTCCTTTACGAACGCCACTCGGCAGGATTTCTGAACACGATTTGCACATTTAGTCCTCTGTCTGTCTGTCTGTCTGTCTGGCCTGCTTATTTTACGAGGTGTTTAGAATAATTTATCGAGTCAGCACATTTTCATAGGGTACTTTAAGTGACCCAGGTTTCTTCCTTTCTTTACCTTGTGTCACTTTTCCGCCAAGTTTCCATGATAAACCTAAGTTGCGTCTGGGTTCACCTTCAACAACCTCTCCTTCGGGCGGTGAGGGTTCATTTGGATAACCAGCCGCTTCGACCACCAGGGTACCAGGTAAGCACCTTTTTTTCCCTTTTCCTCTCTCTCTCTCATAAAGCAGCGGAACAACTTCACTCGGTCTTTTTTCTGCGTAGTTAATGTTAACTCCAATGTTTCACCAAAATGATCATCTTCCATTAGAAACATGATTTGTTGTGTGTCAGTGTAAACCAGGTGAAGCAGACGACAAACAAGCGCCCTGGTCGCGTGCCGGACACAAATTCCACCTTGGGACGGAGCCATTGCAGTTCAAAACACTTCATAAAGTTTGGATTCGCCCGCCACTGTCTACCGTTCCAAGTCGTGAATTTGATAGATTTAAGGGTGTTTGATTTTATTTTAATGACGAATGTACCTTTTTGTCTTGGAGATTGGTTTCTCATTCACTTTCTGGTGCATCAAATGACCGTCTGAGCACTGGTCACCAGCAGGTGCTGTGCGGGGTAGCGGACGCGGCGTGAACAGTGACATCTAGGCGCGTCACAACACCAGTGTAGCAGTGTTCAGTGTAACAACTCTCACAATTGGCTAATCACGCATCTCAACTTGTTGACATTTAGATTGCACAGCGTCTATATTACACAATCTTTTTCTTAAACAATTTCGCCACCAGGATATGAGTAATTGTTGGGGGGTGCGTGTTACTTCCAATTGCATCTTTGGTATTTCCTTTTTTGCAGGCAGTTCTGGCCCTTTCCGGTTGCCCAGCAGCACTGCCGGTGGGGGTAGTGGTGGACTTTTCGGCACCAGCGCTAAGCCAAAACCCTTTTATTCGACTGGGCTCTTTGCAGCACCCATTCTAGGCAGGACTGTTTTCGGTTCTGCTTCAACCGGCACAAGCGGCAGCACAGTTGGCGGCGGTGAACTGTTCGGCTCCTCTTCTAATACTTCTGCGTCTGGAGGTGTCGGCCTACCTGGTCCTTCGACAGCTTCTTTCTCTTCCGGTGATATTTTCAGTTCCACTGCCCCGGTCAATTAACGCCTGCTTGGTGCCACCGGTGGCTTTGGTAGTCCAATGGCTTTCGGTTCTATCAATGCCGCGCAGGCCAATCTACTCATATTTCCGATTCCTAGTTCAGCCTCCGCTGACACTGGCAGTTTTGGCTACCCATCGTTTTCTGGACAGTCTACTTTTTTGGTGCTGCGGATGCTGGTGGTCTCTTCTCAGGGTTATTATGCTTTTCCCATGCCCTGTCGAGTTCAGCGTTTGTTAAGATTTGCAGCCTAGTTATATTACCCTTGACAAATTAAGTAGCACGATTTTATAAGAAATTGCGTACGTGTGTTTCATGCAAGAGAAGTTGTTGCGCCTACAAGGAGTTCTTTGCACAAAGTGTTAGACCTGTTCTTCGAGCCGATTTGCACAGGCC